GTATCACTATGGAAGTAGATTGCCCCATCTTCCTTCCGAGGAGTGGCTGGTAGGTTTGAACCACCAGCCTTCTGGTTAGCAGTCACGTGCCTTAGGCCCTATGCCACCAGAGCTCCTCATGTACCTCTAGGTAGATTCAAACCACCAGCCTTTCAGTTAGTAGCTGAGTGCTTAACCTCTATGTGCCACCCACAGACTACCACACACCCAGAGAACAGCCAAAACTTAAATGAGCAACCATACCAAATGCTGACAATGATGAAGAGCACTTGGAAAGGTCAGTACACTAATAAATAATTACATATACATATTATATATATGTCAAACATAGGAGCTCTGGTGGTGTAGTGCCTAAGGCACTTGACTGCTAACTAGAAGGGTGGCGGTTCAAACCCACCAACCACTCCTCAGAAGGCAGGGTGGGCAATCTACTTCCTTACTGATACTGCCTTGGAAACCCAAGGAGGAGTCACTATGAGTTGGGTCCAACTCGACAGCACATAGCAAAAACAACAATATATGTCACATTTTAATGTGAAATAAGGTGACAATAATGAGAGGGGAATAAACTGGTTTGGAAAACTAGTCTCCAAGTGTTATCATACTCTTTTAGGTTTCTGAAATATCATTTTAGCCACGGATTAAAAAAAATAGAAAATTAAGCTCTTTTTACCAAATATATCCTTTAAACAGAGGCACAGAATGTAAGAAACAAATCAGGGTCAGTTCAGTCCAACCTATTTGAATAGTCTGTTTAAGAAATATGACTAACTCAGCTCTGATATTATCTGTTCATAAACAAATGGACTGAACTTTTCTGGCTTTGTCAATACTTGTTAATTCTAATCTCTTCCTGGTTATCTCCACTTCTAAAAGAATCATAGCAGCTCAGATTTGGAAGGGCTCTTGGGTGTCACATGTTTTAATCCTCTATGCAATGTATGGCTTGTGTATTAGTTTATCTGACATAGAGCTGTCAAGGCTGAGTCTATATCCTAGAAAAGCTACTGTTTCATCACTAGTGTCAGGCTAATAGCTAGCAAAATATACACATTTGGCTGTAACAAAACAGTTACGATTCTCTACCAAGATCGATGACTTTGAAAATGAAAGACAATGAAAAGAGGACAGCAAATATTCACTATACACTACTTTTACTTAAGGATTACTACAAAACTTCTCACAACTAGACTCATATGCAACATTATGATGTTGGAGCCTAAATACTAAAGCATCTGGTCTGTGGAAGGGCGCAGTCTATAGTGGAACCCTTAAACTCCATTTTGAGTTCAGATGCCATTTGAGTTCTTTCTGATCCTCAAACCAGCAATGTGGCTATACTTACACAAATCTGGGGCAAATCTAAAGGGGACAGTTTGCCCTCAGGAAGAGTGAGGTTGAAAGTAGTGTGGCTGAAAGTGTGGCAAGCCCAGGGAGGGGTAATTTTGCCCTCAAGTTTACACAAAGAACCAGTGCACTTACCTAGGCTTGTTCTTAACAATTTACTGAAAATAGCAGCATGTTATCTAATTTAAGTTAAAAAGTTCAGGTCCTGGTAACTGGCTAAGGGACGCACGGTTAAGTCATACCCTGATCACGACGTAGCCAGGTGGTCAAGCCCCAGAACCAATTCTGTAACCTTTTCCAATCAGCAATTGTGTACGTATCCCAATCACTGTCTTTTTCCCGCTTCTGTAGTCCTGCCACCAATCATGATTTTCGGATGAAATGACCTGCCACCAATCATGGTCGTGTAATGATTTCCTTTATTTTCTATCCTATACAATTAGCCCCGTGGCTGTGAGTCAGCAGCCTCCATTCAGCCTCTATACTACGTGAATGCTGATGGTTTCCCTCATCCTGGATGGCTGTCTTTCTTTTTTCTCTTCGTCCTATTTAAGGCTTAACAAAAGTAACTCTATAGAACATGTTTGAATCTGGAGTCACTTTTCCCCTAACACAATGGTAAATGGAGAAAATACTGAAGTTGTCAAAGATGTCCTTTTACTTGGATCCACAATCAATGCCCATGGATGCAGCAGTCAAGGAATTAAACTATGTATTGCATCAGGCAACGCTGCTACAAGAGATCTCTTTAAAGTGTCTTTAAAAAAAAAAAAGCAAAGATGTCACCTTGAGACTAAGGTGGGAGCCAAGCCATATTTTCAACTGCCTCATCTGCATGTGAAAGTTGGACAATGAATAAGGAAGACTGAAGAAGAATTTTTGTATTTGAATTATGGTGTTGGTGAAGAATACTAAATATACCATTGTGGTGGTTATTTTGTGTGTCAACTTGGCTAGGCCTGGTTGAGTGGCTGGGCAGGTGGATGTAGTATTCCCCATGATGAGACTGGTAATCAACTCCATGGCGGAATCTACTGGGAGCAGCTGAGTAGCTGCCTTTGGGTATGTGGTCTGTTTCCTGTATATAAGGAAAAGCTTTGAGAATGGTTTCTAGCCTTTGGCATGCTTGGGCCCTGCATGTAGCCGTGTTGTTGCTCAGCAGCCTGCTATGCTCTGCCGACCTTGGGACTTACAGTGGACTTTAAGTTAATGGCCTGCCATGTGGTTTGGTAACATCGGGACTGTGCCTTTTTACTTTTCAACCTTGGGGCTTCTCAGCCTCAGCAGCCAACAGCTGTCTGAGTGAAGAAATGCCTCTAGCTCCAGTGGGCTGAGAGCAGGAGGCAGAGCTGGACACCAAGGTTGAGGGGTTTTCACCCAGCCCCTAAATCCTGGCACTTTGAACTTGGACTTAAGCCTCCATATTGTGAGAGAATAAACTGCTGTTTGTTTAAGCCATCCCATTTGTGGTGCATTCCTGTCAGAGCAGCACTAGGTAACCAGAACAACCATGGACTGCCAGAAGAACAAACCAATCTGTTTTGGAAGTACAGCCAGAATGCTCCTTATAACTGAGAATGACGAGACTTCATTTAGTGTACTTTGGACACGTTATCAGGAGGAACTAGTCCCTAGATGAAAAAGAGGAAGACCCTCAATAAGACAGGTTCAGTGGCTACACTGATGGGCTCAAACACAGCAATGATTGTGAGAATGGCGCAGGAGCAGCCAGTGTTTCATTCTCTGGTTCACAGGGTCACCATGTGCTGGAACCAACTGAATGGCACCGAACAACAACCTGGCTTTCCTTAAGGAGCCCCTGATTATCTAACAAAATTGATCCGGTTCAGATTTTCTGGGCTAACCAGCAACCAGCCCATAGTACAAAGAATTCTCTCTCAATCAAGAATTTGCTTTACTTTGCTATTGGTCTTTAAAAAAAAACCTTATCCTTGACTTTCTATACTTAAATTCATAAACTGAAATTCTCTTTCAAAGTATAACCCTGGGTATGGAACTGAGGCACTTCTAGGGTGGGTCAGTATAATCCACAATAAAACTTTGAACTGCACTCTGAAAGTATACCAGTTCTCAGTCTAGATGGCAGTGATCACGAAGGGGGTCTAAAAGCTCCCAAATTTCCCAAGTTATAAAATAAGCAGCTTCTTGGTTAAATGAAATACTGTAGAGGTTTTCAGAAACAGACAATGATCATAAACTCAATGAAAACATAAAAAAGAACAATATTAAAAGAAGTATTTAATTTTATAAGATAAGTATTAGAGGTACAGTTATAAAAAAATTCATAATTTCACCACCTAACATTTAGAATATATAATTACAGTATATAAGGCTATCACACTAAAGCCATACATAATTGCTGAATAAGTCACTTCACTAAGGTATGTTGTTTCTTTTTACCAAAAAAAAAAAAAAAGTGAAAGAAAGATACAGCCTCAATCCAAAATGTAATTTTACTCAAATAAAAAAAAACAAGGATTTGAGTTTCTTGATTAATTTCAAGCTAAAAAGTTTTAAGCAAGCCTAAGTGTTTATTAAACTCTAAAATACGTATATGCTGAAAAATAGTCTGACCTGTTCAATGACGTAAAAGGCAAATTCCAGCCGCTGTTTCTGGAGCATTGGAATCAGGTGCAGGAAAAAAATTGGTAGATGTTCATGGCGATTACGGAAAGGGATGAGAACTGCCACCTTTAAAACAACACAGTCAGATATATAAGTAAATATCACAACAAACCTTACAGGTAAAGATAAAAATCAATGCTTGAAACTTTCTGATGGTTTTAAAGTCATACTCTTACTCACCAAAGATAGAACAGTGATCAAAACCAAATATAGCAGCTTATGGTCTTGTGAGGCCACCAGACTTTAATTTACAGAGCTCACAAATACAGGTAAAATTACAAGTGTGCTAAGTGCTACAAAAGAAGTGTATATTGTGCCAAGATCATAAAATTCAGAATGCTAAGTGGTCTGAGGGACAAGGACACAAGGCAAGCTGAGGACCAGGAGTTGGAATTAAATAGGCGAACGAAGTCCTGGGGCAGAAAGAGAAGGCACCCTGACAAAGGCTGGGCAGCAGGCCGAGGGTGGTACTTCCACCACTCAGTGCAGACAGGGAGCAGCATGGGGGATGAGGCTGCAGAGGAAATGAGCGCTGAAGACTGTGCTAAGCAGTGTGTGGCCTTTATCTCATCAAGCCCGTGGCAAGCCACAGAGAGATTTTAACTGAAAGGTGGTGAAATCAGATTTGGTGACCGAAAAGACCACTTTAATGCAGTATGGAGAGGAGGTTGGAGAGGGCTGGCTCAGGAAAACCAGTCAGGAAATTAATGCAATAGAAGAGGTCAGAGGTAATGGTAGTTTGGAGGAAAAGAATAGAGACGTAAGTGAATTTCCGAAACATTTAAGAGGCAAATTAACAGGATTTAGTCATCAACTGGACATAACGAGTGAGGAAGGAGAAGGTGTCAAGAGTAACTTCTAGATTTTAAAGTAAATGATAAATAACAAAAACATTTTGGTTTATAAATTGAATTTAAAAGAGATTCCACACGAATGTGTACTACCCCACACGTGTCTTATCTGGCCTAAAGATATTTTTGAAAAATATTACTGAAATGTTCATGCAAGAATTCTAGTCACAGCCTATTGACACAACCCAATCATACACAATAGTATTACCATAAAATACACATGAAGTTTGATAAGCATGTTACTATGTTTTCATTTAATTAAATGTACAACCAAGTTTTCAGTCCATTTTATAAATATATTTTAATAGTAGTAAAATATTCAGTTCAAAACAAAATTGATAATAAAGCTATTAAGTTAGGATGTTAAGCTAACAAAATTCATCATGTAAGCAGCACAGAAAACAAAGAAATTTGTCCTTAGAGAAATGAAAGAAATTTGTTCTTATGTACACCAAAAAATAAAAGGGAAAACACACATATATAAATTAAAATGATTTCTTAGTATATCAATCTTTCTTTTTATAGGAAGAAAAAAATTTACTGGGACTCTCAAAATCAAGATTGAAAAATACCCCATACAAAATGTCTCAATATGATATGGGAATAAACTGAAATCCTCTATTTCCTGAATCCAAAATTTATTCTACAAGCCAGCTCTCCCTACAATTCAGATTTTTCCCTTGAAAACATTAAAATATTTTCTAAATACGACTTTTCTCAATAATTTGTGAGCTAAGATGGCTTTACCATTGTGCAGTTCCTAATAAAAATGTAAATTAAGAGAAATGTATTGTCTACAGGTTATAAATTGCAAAATCATTAGATTTCCAAAAAATTTAAGAATGAAAATATATCTAGTTAGCCTATCTATGCATCACTCTATATTCTAGATTTTTAAATACAATCTAAGCTGGGTATAACAGAAAATTATAGAAGAATATTAACTGTGGAATTTATCAAAATTTTACCTATGTCAATAGATTTTACTAATTAATGAATAAATGCAAATGAGAGTATATAGCTTTATGAGCTAACACTTCTTGTAATACCAGGACATGCCATTAGATATAATCCACAGAAAATAGAAACCTTTACCTGTGTGTCTTACATTACCAGGATTACAACCCCAAACCAAAACCTACTACTGTAGAGTCAATTCTGACTCCTAGCAACCCCATAGGACAGAGTAGAACTGCCCCACAGAGTTTCCAATGCTGTAAATCTTTACAGAAGCAGACTGCCACATCATTCTTCCCTAAAGTAGCCGGTGGCTTTGAGCCACCAATCTTTCAGCTTGCAGCTGAGTATTTTAACCAGTGTCCCACCAGGGCTTGGTCCAGGATTATAAATCAGAGAAAATGTCTAATTATTTTTATTTAAAAAGGAAACAAAATATGGTTTAGTAAAACGGAAAGCAGCTAAATCAGAAATTCTACCAATACTATTCCTTCAATGCAAATGGGATAGCAAAAAGACCCAATGGCTGCTATGAGGCAGCTGTTTTTGTTTTCACTAATTACTTCATGTTTGGTTACAGTGGTAGGAGCTGAAAATGTTCTCATGTACCAGCCAGCCTCACTATGGATCCCTTCCCCTCTTGATTTGTCTCAGAAAGTACCTTCTTAGTTTATGAACCTGAGGTCTACAAGACTGCTATGGCCAACAGGCAGCAGCAGCATCTGACACTCCCTTTTGTACCTCCACACAATGGCACAATGGCTACCTACGGTACTGGGAGCTCCCTACTCAATGAGGACTTGGTAATGGGTGTCTCTTTCAGCTGTTGGTATATTCTAAGAATTCTCAAATCAATAAACTGCCGAAGCATTTCTGGGATCCCTAGATTTACTCTTAAGATAGGAGATTGCTATGGAAAAGTAAAAGGATATAAAGAAGTGAGATAGTGAGTACATATTCCTACTATCATCTTATCTGAAATGTATCATCAGTGTGATAACATCTACCAAAGTAAGGTTAAGCTTGCCCTTTCTGGTCTTTCATTTGGCAACAAGTTGCCCTCTTATGGTATAATGTAAATAGACTATAAAAGCAGTAGAGGTGAATAACTGATGATATTTAAGGGAAGAAGCTACTAAATGGCTACAGAGTCCATATTAATCAAAGATACTCAAAACCAAACTCACTGCCATAGAGTCAGATCTGATTCATAGTGACTCCTCCTTGGGTTTCCATGGCAGTATCACTACAGAAGTAGATTGCCCAACCTTCCTACCGAGAAGTGGCTGGTGGGTTTGAACTGCCAGGCTTCTGGTCAGCAGTCAAGTGCCTTAGGCACTGCACCACCAGATAGTCCATATAAATTAAAGATAATAGGCTGAGTGATGAATTGAACATATAAAAATAGTCGTAACATACAGATTTTCTCTAATGAAGTTTTCAGAATGGCTAGAGGGTTTTTTTTTAATTTGTTTGTTTTTAATCTTACAAAGAAACCAAGAATAAGTAAAAGAAATTGCCAATGTCTTGGTAAACTGAAGTAAGTAAAACTGGTATTACACAAGTGTCAAAATTTTCATGGAAGTTATCAAAAAATTTAAGCAGTATATCTAGAGCAACCTTTTTATCAAAATAAAGTTTGATAATATCCTAAAAATCTATTTGGTGTGTCTCTTCCTGTGTCTGTGGCTAGAAAAAGAAGATCTCAGTGTTCTGTGATACTTTATCCTGAGGTTTAATAGCCTTCATTTCAGGCACTCTTTCTTGTATGTGCCCTAGTTTGCTGCTTGAGCCACTCGCCTACTGATGCATCTACAGTGCAAATAGAGTATCTTCTGAAATAACACTTCGTCTTCACAAATCTCTCCTTCATCACCTTTTATCCAAGCAAAATTATCCCATTCCATTTGCTCTTACTTTTAAAACCATTAATCTTACCACTGTACGCACCTATTTTTTTATTTTTTCCTACACACACCATGAGGAGACAAGCAAGAAAATTATTTTCACATAAATTTCCTTCACTATGTTTTTGTCCTCGTTTCAACTTCAGGCACACTACCAGCTACAATGCCCCTACATGACTAGGTTTTATAGCAGGTCACTTTAATAGGGCATCTTGCTCTTTGCCATTAACTAAGATGAGACTGAGTGAAGCAGAAGTTACTGGGCGTTCATTCCCCAACAGAGTTTTCAGTTTCCTCCTCCTCTGCTTCATTTCCAGGGAGTACAGACACATTTTTCATATTGAAACCATTTTATTTAAAAAAAAAAATCGGTCCTTGTCCCCACTACCACTAAATCAGAAAGTCTGAAGACTGAGTTCAAGAATTTGCATTTTTACCTGATACTCCAAATAGTACTGAAACAAGTGGCTAAGACCCATCCTGGAACAGCTGAAATGGACCTTCAGGCCTCCAAGGAGGTAACCAAACCAAAAACCAAACCCACTGCCATTGAGTTGATTCCAACTCATAGTGACCCCCTTTGAGTTTCCAAGGTGGTAAATCTTTACGGAAGTAGATTGCCCAGTCTTCCTTCCCTGGAGGTAACAGTTCTAGGCAAATTCTTGGTTCTTTAACCCTTTAGATTTGGAAACAAAGTTGTCCAAGCCCTCAGTGTGAAACCTGAATGGAAAGGTAGGTGGTACCTCAAGTAAACATTTTATTCAATGACCTGAAAAGCATCACCATCTTCTTTTCTCAATCTCCCAAGAGAAATAAGCTTTCCTCTGAGGTGTCCAACCTGTGCTGAACTTTTCTACTTGAACCTGCAATGTTCAGGAGTACCTAGGATTTACTGAAGTTACTCATTTTAGAAGATCTCAATTCCAATTAAGTTGGCCATAAATCAACTTGATTAGTATTCTGTTAGTTAAAAAAAGAACAGAATGAGCCTCAAAGATTAAGAATCAAGTTGGTGGCAGATGTTTAGCATAAATCCAGTTGTTCATTCCCTCTCAACGCTGTCCCGATATTGGGATAGGATATTATTAGAATGTCAGCAAGGAGGGAGGGATAGAGGAGAAATTATTTAATTAAATATGGCAAGTACAGCTCACCTCTGAATGATCTCCAAAATTCCTACCATACTTTTCAGTTGCATAGCTCAGAGCTAGACACCGTATTCTGTGAAGGATTTGTGCTCAAAGCTGAAATAATAGCAGAGTTACCATATAGTTCCTAAATAAAATAAGCTAATTTTTAGATCCATGAATTAGGCTGATTCCTAAAAACTCCACTTTCAATATTGTCACCTACGGATTCACATGCAGTGAAGTGTACAGTCTACAAAAATCACCAAGTAGGAACTATTCATGAATGATATGCCTCTCTCCTGGAAAATGAGAAAACACACTATAAAATTTAAAATCCACCATCTGGACAGACCACTGGACAAAGACAAGAATAGTCAATTTTTCTTATCCTAAGTTGTCCTGCTACTACTGTGCCACCCAAAGCACATCTGAGGGGTGCACTGTTGCATCCTACATGAATACACAAGGGTCAACCCCATGTTGCCCCTCCATCGTCACAGCAGTTGTGACCAATCAAGTGTGCTTCATCTTCCATTAGCAGTCAACATATACATCACCACCCAAGCAATAAAAATAATTTCTTTGCCTAGGGCATTTTAAATAAAATTGCTATACATTATACAAACAAATGTGAGAAATTTCAATCAAGAAATATGAAATGATTCATTTATTAAATGAATCTGATCTGCAAATAGCATAAGACTATTATAAAATAAAATGACTTTCCATAATTTGTGCTAGAATCCATTTAAGTGGCTTCACAACCTTTTTGAGACAATGAGAAAACTGAATGTTTATTTAATAATCTGTATCCAGGCCCCAAAAGACATTTATTAACCTCAAACTCAATTCAACAAAATTATTTTTAATGCCTACCATATACAAGACAATATGCGCTGCAGATAAAAATAATACACAGTTCCAAACAATGAATTCAAGGTGCAATTAAGTCAGAGTCTTTTTCATAAATTTAATAGCATACAATTCTTTCCTAGAAGTAACTTTGGGGGTGGGGCACATTTTAGAAGAATACTAACATTTTAAAAGAAAAATTGAAAACTTACTAGATTATGGCTACATTATAAAATTTTAGAATATAACATTTCATTTTTAATCTGCAACTTTCATTTGAATTATATAAATGCTATTTTCTACTCAAATATGTATGTCCTCATTAACCAAGTTCATAGTATTGAGAGTAATCATGTTCCTAGTATCATGTTATAACCCAAGGTTTACCATTTTTTAAAAGCCAGAGACTTCTAATCCCTTGTTTTTCAAACAAAACATTAAGTAGAATATATCAAAAAGATAAAAAGCTTCTGCTTTGCCTTCTGAAACAGGGGTGAAGAGCCTAAAGCCTCCTTGTTATGCCCTACAGGGACCTCTGAGTGGCCTCTTTAGAATTCTTGGGCTCTAAGGAACAGAGCTTGAAAATCTCAGTGCTAGACCCAATTAGAAATCAAGACATTAATATCCTCCCAGTGGGTTCTCACTGGTTCCAGTACTTGGTGGAGTAACACCTGCAGGTAGCCAGCCAACTATTAGGGGCAGTTGGAGGAGGCAGAGAAATCATACTCTCTCTTCCAAAACAGAACAGAAAAACAACCCATTTATCAAACCAATCTCAAATAATGCATTTATTATCCGAAACTTCAAGAGGCTGAATGCTTGAGCATATATTTTATAGGTACATTTAAAGCCTTCATAAAAAAACCCAAAAACTCACTGCTGTCGAGTCAGATCCGACTCACAGCAACCCCTCCTTGGGTTTCCGAGATGGTATCACTACCAAGAAGACTGCCCAATCTTTGTAAGGAACATATTCAATCACATTCTAACTGAGAATACTTATGTGTGTTTTGATGTCTTACATTTATCAAGAGTCAAAGGTATTTCACCCTATATTCTGAGTTTAGCAAATGTTTTATCAAATTAATAGTCACACTACTCATAGAAAAACTGAACTCACCTTCCATCTGGGTTTACAGTCTTTAGGCCTCCAGTGACCTCCTGGTTCAATATCTAAATCCTTGGCAAAAAGTTGATGAATTTCATCAAAACTGACTTCGCTTACATTGACATTGAGAAATCCCCCTATAAGGTCAAAAACATGAGAAACCGTTTTAGTATTTTTTGCCTCAACAATGCAAATAAGACTAATAACCATCAGGAGAATAATGGTATATCTAACCTGCCAGGGCATTCTGGTTTATTTCTGTTGTTACAGCATAATTATTAACACTGTCCTCTTTCATTTTCAGTTGAGATGATAAATTATAAGTCACCCTACTACCCTTAGGTAAATCAGCCGAAGAAAATCAAATTGCTTATCTAATTTTTGTTCTTGACTAATACACTAAATATTCTTATACTCTTTGGAAAACGTTTGCATGTCATTACAACCTTGTGTATCATTTCAATTTAATAACAATTCAAATATTTAAGCTTTTTAATTTCATCATAGTCAACACAGGGATACAACAGCACATCATAGTCAACATAGGGATACAACTGATGTAAGAGAGAATTAAGCGGAGTTCTGTAAGATAGCTGAAACTTAGCTTTTACCCCTTGGGTAAATTTCTGAACCTCTGCACCTTAGCTTACTCATCTGTGAAAGGACATAGTAATGCTGCTTCCCAAAGCAGTTATATCAATTAGATGAAATAGTGCATATGAAGGATCAAGTACAGGGCCTGGCACAGGTACACACTCATAAATGTAAACCACTATTATTGCCACCACTCCTCTGACAGTTTATAGTACTGTAATGCTTATGTGTTACTGTGATGCTGGAAGCTATATGAAGACAAATATGGCACCAGGATTGGAGGTAGAATCATTCACAACCTGAAAAATGCAGATGATACTACAACCTTGCCTGCTGAAAGTAAAGAGGAATGGAAGCACTTACTGATGAAGATCAAATAAATAATAAAGGCCTTCTGTGTGGACTACACTGCAACATAAAGAAAACAAAGAAATGGTAATCACAGGGATGAAGTAGGAAGTATGCTATTATATTGTGGGGACTGCACACACAAAAAAGACAAAAATCCTCACAATTGTACTGACAAGCAATAGCATGATAAATAGAGAAAAGACTGAAGTTGTCAAAGATTTCATTTTACTTGGATCCATAATCAATGCCCATGGAAAGAAATCAGACAACATATTGCACTGGGAAAATCTGCTGCAAAAGACCTCTTTAAAGTATTAAAGAGCAAACACATCACTTTGAAGACTGAGGTGCATCTGACCCTAGCCAAGTCATTTTCAATCGCCTGATACGCATGTGAAAGCTGGACAATGAATAAGGAAGACTGAAGAATTGATGCCTTTAAACATGGGTATATGGTGGATATCCTGCCACTCCTGAGGTCCTCGAGGCCACTCCTGGTCCCCCCCTTTCCTGGGAGGATAACCAGGTTTAAAGGGGCAGGAGGCAAGGCTAGGACCCAAGCCCCCTAGAGTCAGGAAAGGGAGGGACCAGGAGCAGCCTTGGGGACATCACGAGGGGCAGGATATCCAGGCTTAAAGGGATAAGAGGCAAGGCTAGGCCCTGAGCCCCCTAGAGTCAGGAAAGGGAGGGACCAGGAGCTGTCAAGGTTTCAGGTAGGAATTAGGTAAGAGGAGAGTGGAGAGATTCCCAACAGCTAAGGGAGACAAACTTGTCTGTCACTTTGTCATCCTGTGAGGCTTATATGTTGCTGTCGGGCTTGAGTCTGTGCCACTGGTATTTCAGACGCCAGCAGAGTTGCACATGGTGCACAGGTTTCAGCATAGCTTACAGACTAAGACAGACTAGGAAGAAGGAGGACACCATCTACTTCTCAAAAACTGGCCAGAAAAAAATTTATGAATACCACAGAAACACTGTCTGATACATTACTGGGCAACTTTATGAATAGCTTGGAAACACTGTCTGACACGGTGCAGGATGATTAGCCCCTTGGGTTGGAAGACAATCAAAATAGGACTGGGAAAGAGCTGCCTCATTAGAGTAGAAAGAATGTTAATGATA